CCCCGCGGGCGGCGCCCCCTTTCTGGGGCCTACGTTTCTTTTTTCCCCCCCCCCCCCCCCCTTCCCCTCCCCCCCCCCCCCCCCCTTCCCAAAATGCCCCGAGCAAAGCTGATGACCCCATAGCATTAATGCCTGGCTTGGATGTTTTCTTGCTGCATAAGCCAAATGGTTACAAATGGTTAAACTCACATTTTGGCAGTTTTATCAACCATATGTTTCACAGAGCCCAGTGTGGGGAAAAGTTGTAGATGGATTGATGTAGATGCTTGGGTGTAAGCAGATGGGTAGATAAGCCAGAAAGAAATTGCAGGTTTACAGTGGCATGATGCACACATTTAGAAAAGACATTTATACATTAATAGACAGTAACGGCAGCAGACGACAAACGCTAATGTTGCAAAGAATCACCGAGATCCTGCAGCAGCCTACAGTGAAGAACAGTGAAGTTGCGTATCTGAGGATATGTATCCCAGGGTGCCTTCTGCCCATTGTGTGATCTGCTCTTGCGTTAAAAGCCATTTCTATGCAGATCTCAGTGCAGATGTGCTTGAGGTCACTATTTTACCTGTGGGTGGCGGCGGTGTTGGTGTGGTTAATTGGTAACAAAAGACTAATCCCCTTTTGGCACGTCAGGGTGTAAATTGGCAGCAGACGGATGCGGTTCAGAAACCAACAGTGATCATGTGTGTGTCACGTGATTCCCGTGTTAACCAGAATCGTGACCTCAGGAATGATCAGATTTGCTGAAGCTCAGATGCGGAGTCGAGCATGAATTGGGTTTCCTGCCCTCTGCAGCACAAGTGGATGTGCTGACGGCTGCCCTCCGGGTCGCGGCGCTGGACTGCCACCTGGCAGGGGTGGTGCCAGAGCTCCGGGACGCTGCCCGAGGCCGCGGCGGCCCCTTCGGCGCCCACGCCGTGCCTTTGATCACAGACGCCGCCGACATCCAGGTGATGGCCGCTTCCCGCTCTCTCTCCCCTGCCACTTCGGCTTCCGGGCCTGACGTGCATTTCCACCGTTCAGAACCACGAGCCGACTCTCACGATCCGGCACAGCGACGACTCCGAGCTCAGCGACAGCCCGAGTCCCGAGGAGAAGAAGTCTAAGCGGCAGGTTAGTATGGGGCTAGACTGGTCTGCTGCTGCTTGATTCTCAGCTAAGGGATTGTTGGGAGCCTGGGCAAGGTATTGGCCAACTAAGCAGTTGCGTAGGACTTGGGTGGCCGCCAGTGTCGCCCCCCCCCCTTCCCCCAATCTGATCAGCCTGTCATAATTGAAAGGAAGATGACAAATGACTTCTACGTCAGTCATATTTTTTTAGGGCCCCTGAAAAGCATCTCTTAACAGAGCCGATCGATAAGTCTTGGTCGAATTACACCAACACTGCAGAGTAGTTAATTTATCGGGAAACCAAAATGTTCCCAAACCACTTCTGACTGGATGATCAGCCAGCTCACAATAGCCATTATCGAGATTTTGTTGTTCAACATTTTCCTGTGAATTTAAGTTCCGATCATGTCAATAAAATGTGTTTGTTTATCTCATTGTTTACTGAACCAGAAGTGAATGTGTCCTAGGGCTGAACGTGATCCCTGGGGATCATATCACAATTTTTCTGATATATATTGCGATTCAATTTGTGATATAATTTATTATTGTTTTTAAAGTCAAGCCTCAGTTCCATATTGTGTGTAATGATATTTTTCAAACATGACACAGCATTACCACATGAGATACTATCCGAATATTAACTGGTCTATATTCTAGTGCCAGGATGAGAACGTAAAGATATGAATTGCTTCCCACCTGTATATATGACTTTAAACTGCTCTGTTCTCTGTTATCACAAAAGCTGTGAAGGTATTAAGTTAAAGTTATAAAAATAAATCAGTACAAGTAAGAAGAGAAACAGTGACCTTGCAGCTACTGCTGCTTGGACCCCTAATAATTGGACCTTTCTGTAAACAATCTCTGACCACGAAACACGTAGGTGATTCGCTTACAGCTCGGCAGTGGAATCAATATTTTTTTGCACCCCAATTATAACGTTTACCTTGGGTGTCATGTTTGCTGTTTGTGGGCGTATGCGCAGTCGCCTTGGGCCACTTCTGATTGGCAAGCATGACTGGCACGCGAGTATGACACATCTGATTGGCAAGAATGACTGTCACACAAGTAGGATGTCATGAATTGATAGAACTATTCTCACGACAGTGCGAATAAACCCTGGGGCAGACGTGCTGTGTAATGCATACCCTAAATTGCAGCGTTTGTGATGGGCTAATCCTGTTGTTTCTAATCCCAATTTCAATAAATCTTTCAGCCCTAACATCTACCATTCAGCGCTACTGGTAACTGAGTACTGTGAGCTTATGCCGCTTTTTATACCATGAGCTTTGTCCTTTTTACACTCACCTTGCACCTCCAATCCCCCTAGGACGTGGTACCTCAAGCCCTACTGGACCAGTACCTGTCCATGACCGACCCGTCACGTGCTCAGACTGTTGACATGGAGATCGCCAAGCACTGCGCCTACAGCCTGCCAGGGGTTGCCCTCACCCTGGGCCGGCAGAACTGGCACTGCCTCCGGGACACCTATGAGACGCTGGCCTCGGACATGCAGGTGCGCTGGGTCATGTGATCGTCCTAGCTGGTCATGTGATCATCCCAGCCCTCACTAACTGGCTAAAGACCTGTCTGTCTCTCAAGTTTTTTTTGGTGCAAATTATAAGCAAATTTGCACGAAAGTTAAGTTTATGAAGTTACTTTTATTAGTATTTTTTTTAAGTTTATTAAGTTACTTTTTCATCCTGTGAAATTTTAAGATCTTTGTCTCATACTTCAACATGGAGCAGGCTTTTGACAACTGAGTATCTCTATAAGAACTAATTATTTTTATGTCCTTCAGTTGTACTAATTCACAAATTGTTTCCAATTCTGTTTTCGCAATTGCAGTCTTCTAAATACGCAAACCTCAGATCAATGGAAACGCCTCTAGCAGCAGCAGCCTCCTTGGCTCTCTGCTGCCACTCGTGTTCCAGCACATTCCAGTTCTCTCACCCCCTCCTTCCCGCAGTGGAAGGTGCGCCGGACGCTGGCCTTCTCCATCCACGAGCTGGCCTTGATCCTTGGAGACCAGCTGACGGCTGCGGACCTGGTGCCCATCTTCAATAGCTTCCTCAAGGACCTGGACGAGGTGCGGATAGGGGTCCTCAAGCACCTCTACGACTTCCTCAAGGTATTCCCATTTTTTAATTTTTTTTTGCTGATTCTTCCAGAAGTGACATATTAGCACATGAGATACCACCTATCCAATAAAAGTTGAATTTAAAATAGCTAAAATGCAGTTAAACCTGAGTTTCTAGACAAGTAGTTAATTATCAAAATTTAAGTCTGTGCTTTGGAATTTGAATGGAATCTGTTTGTGGTGAACCTTGATGGCACTTTTGGCCTGATTGGTCACATGACATGGCCAACTCCCAATCACATGACCACGTCTCTTCCCCCCTCCCGCAGCTGCTGCACCAAGACACCCGCCGCAAGTACCTGTACCAGCTGCAGGAGTTCCTGGTCACGGATAACAGCAGGAACTGGCGTTTCAGATCAGAGCTCGCCGAGTAGGCTTTTCCGCCATGCCATGCCCCCCCCCCCCACCCAGTCATATGCTATTCTCTCACATGCTCCTCACCTCACATCTCAGCTCTGTGTGGGTTTCCCCAGCATCCATGTGTATGGCCCAATGCCCAGTCTACTCTTAGTTGATGGTAATCCACCCCCCCCCCTCTCTGGGGTCTTTCAGGCAGTTGGTCTTGTTGCTGGAGCTATACAGCGGTCAGGATGTCTACGACTACTTGCGCCCCCTGGCTTTCAGCTTGTGCACTGACAGAGTCTCCTCTGTGCGGTGGATTGCCTACAAACTGGTACGTCACACTAGTCTGTTTATCTTAATTCAGGTAGAGATGTTTGTTTCGGCTTAATTTTGTGCCTCAACTCTAATTCTGTTCATCCTTAAACTGCCACGCCCCCTGCAGGTGAGTGAGATTATCAGGAAGCTGTCTTCTGACCCACCCCTGGTGGCTGACTTCATGGTGGAGCTGGTCGACAAGTTCTGCCACTCGCCGAAGTGGTCGGGGCGCCAGGCCTTTGCCTCTGTGTGTCAGGTGAGGTTTTCCTTCCTCTTGACAACCTTCTGGGCAAAACGAGGCTGTGAAAGACAATCTCCCCTTCCCCCGGCTCCAAAACGGCTGCCTGAATTTCAACCTAATGAGAACCAGCTGAGCAGACAGACTAGACCCTCTACAAGACACTGGCCTCCGACATACACTATTGCTGGGGTCATGTGATTTTTCCCTGTAGGTCATGTGATCATGTCAGGCTTCACTAACTGGAACCAGTTATGACACTCTGTCATGCACTTTTGTTAGCTCTGGATTCTCGGCCTGCTTCCTGACCCAAAAGGGTTGTTTCCAGTTAATTTTCGGGCAAATTACAAATTTTCTACAAGCCAACAAAATTGAATTGAAAATGTGTTTTCTCTTAATAGATGTCATGTGGATAATTCTTGTCATTTATCATACCATGGAATTGAGATCTATCCATCCTCATACTTCAACATGGACTTTCCATGACATGGTATCTCTAGAAGAAATCATTTTGTGTTCTACCTATCTGCTAAGCCAGGTCCACAGAAACCCCAGACCAGTATACATTTTTGCTCCCTCCCAGCTCAGGTATTCGGTGCTTTTTCTTGACTGGGACCTGGGTGGGTGCACAATTGTGGTCTGTGGGTCCCTGAGGACAGGGTCACGGCCATCTTTGTGCTCTGAACCTCATCGCTTGTTTGCTGATCCCACATCATGACGAGGGTGGAGGAATTTTAGCTTGATGGGTTTTGCAAATCCCTCCCCAAACAAGGCTGCAGTCAGATCAAGTGTGTTACTTCATCTGTTTTTCAAACTGACCTAATTCATTACTACTTTCAGAAGTAATTAATGAGCTTGTAGTGTTCTGAGATCGGTTCAGTCACATGAACAAGGGTTTCTCTTCAATAATGGTATTAATGCCTCTTTTATTCTCCCTCCCTGAGTGGGGGGCTCTGCCCCCCTTCCCAGTGAAGCTCACATTCATTATCCCCTTGCCTGCTGGACATGGGCTTTGGCTAGCAAGTCAGGATCTGTTCCCGGCATGCCCTCGGCTCTCTGCCCACTCCTTCCACGTCTCTGGGGGTGTGGCCCCAGTTTCTCGATTGTTTGTGATTTTCTCGTAGCATGGCTTCCCTTGCCATCTCGTGTGTATGTGTACAGTGACGTACACGTTGAGTGCGGCTCAGCGACGTCTGCCCTCCCTAACCCCCCACCTGGGTCCCCGTGCAGCTGGTCATCGAGGACGACTGCGTCTCCCTGGAGCAGTTCTCCGAGCACCTGCTGGCCCCGCTGCTCCAGCTGGCGTCCGACCCGGTACCCAACGTCCGGGTTCTTCTGGCCAAGACCATCCGGCAGAGCCTGCTGGAGAGGGGTGAGGGGGGGGTCTCGCCGGAGGGGGGGGGGGGGTTGCGGATTAGCGACTGTGGTGGCTGCCTTTCATCGCCGTGGCCTATACCACTTTGCTTAGTCTCGTGTAGTTTTACCAGCTGCATCTATTGTGATGAGACGGTGAGGGTGGTGTGTGAATCAAATGTAAATAACTGGATCTGAAAATCATTTAGGCTCAACTTCCATCCTAAAGTGGATGAAATGAGCATTTTGTAGCTGTTCGAATTTAGTAGTTGAGAAATTTTTTGGGTGCCATGCAGTGGCGGGGCAGGCGGGGGCCACTGCCCCTGGGACAGGCCCTCCCCTGGATCGTAGAGGGCCCTCCCCCCAGCCAAAAGAGGACCCTCTCATATCCTCCTGAGACCCAAGGAAAGTGTCCTTCAATTTTAGGTTATTTGTCTTTGGGGGAAATAAGACATCTTACAATTTAGATTTTTTCAAATGTGTTTTTATTTTTAATTTCACTGCATGTCCTCTTTAGTGTACAACAGGAATAAACACGTTTCCTTACATCAGTGAAAAGATAGATGCAAAAACAAAATGTCCACTACAATGGACATAAATTAATGGGTGGGGTATCAGGAGGATATACTAAATACACACAGTTGTACTAATATAATTTCTCTAAAGCTCTTGACAGCTGTAATACATTATTTACCTTTTAACTGTGACTTGCGATTTTATATTTGTCATTTTTTGAATACATTCTTATTATGGTGGGTGTATGGTGTAATTTTTAATTTTTAGAAAAAATCTATAAAATCCCTACAACAAACTTAAAATATAATACACAGTAATGTTTTGAAGTCAAACTAAGCTGTTCCTTTTGTATTTAATGGTTTTCCGTTTGAGGAATTTGCAAAAAACTGCACTGCATGATGGGTAGGATCTAAAGGCTGCCTAACGTCCCTGCCCGTCTCACGACTGTATATAGCCGATTATGTGTCGTGGGCCCTTTAAATTTGTTTGCAATTTCGCCAGGTAAACTGCGTTCTGTTAGACTACATATTTTGGGATGTTTTATTGTAGTCTTTGTAAATATGTATATAGTTTAGCCTAACCCAGCCACTTAAGGGAGCAAGCCAGCTCAGCTAGGTGCCGGTCCCAAGCCCGGATTAATGGGGATTGGCGCCAAGAAATAGAATTTCTTCACTGCATCACTGATGTCAAAATGTGGGAAATATGTGGTTGTATAAATAAATGCGTAAAAGTAGGTTAATGTCTAAATTGTTCTGTCTAAATCATACAAAAAGTTAGGCTATATGACATTTGAATGGGCTGTACCCGGAGGCATGGATGCATTATGAGAATGAGAAAGACGGTGCGTGCACACTAATTTAACCTATACCCTATTCACTTAGACAATACACTGTAATTTTTGCAACAGAAATGGATGAGATGGGCAGGCAGTTGGAGGTGAAATTTTTGTCCTTGGTAAAACTCTGACGGTCTCCACACTGGTAACAACGTTGTTTTCTAGGCATAGCCAAACAAATGTTCTCCTGTCTAGAAAACGCAATTTAGCCACTAAAACTTTAGTTTTTGTGAGGGACAGTCCAATTCTCTCAAGTTTTTGGTGTTCTTGCACCCACACTTTAAAACTCATTTCAGCGCTGCCACATATACGTATGCAGGGGGGAGGGGGGGAGGGGGGGCCCGATCTGTGTTTGGCCCCGGGACCTTGTGTGCACTTCTGCCACTGTTACTATGGCTCTGGATGCCTTGTTGACCGTCGGTTTTTCATGGCCTGTTGGAGCCAGGATGTGTTCCTTATGCCACCTCTTCTTCTACCCCCCC